TTTTTTTTGAGACAGAGTCTCGCTCTGCTGCCCAGGCTGGAGTGCAGTGGCGCGATCTTGGCTCACTGCAACCTTCGCCTTCTGGGTTCAAGCAATTTTTGTGCCTCAGCCTCCTGAGTAGCTGGAGTTACAGGTGTGTGCCACCACACCCTGCTAATTTTTGTATTTTTAGTAGAGATGGGGCTTTGACCATGTTACTCAGGCTGGTCTTGAACTTCTGACCTAGATCCGCCACCTCAGCCTCTCAAAGTGCTGGGATTACAGATGTGAGTCACTGCTCCTGGCCTGTATTTTCTTTTTTTCCAGTTAAACTCATAGCAAATATATCATGCAGGTGTATTTTCTGATCAAAAGAATAAATGAACATAAAAAGCAAATATATTAAAGAAACAATATCCAGTAAAGTCCTTAGTACTTAGAAATGAAATACCTTTGTAAATAATACATGAGTCTAAAATCAAAAGAGAAATTAGAAAATGTTTCAAAATTAGAAAGTTATTTGAAACAGAATAGTAAAAATATAACATCAGTCTTTATCATGCAGCTTGAAAGAGTACTTAAGAGGGAACTTTATAACTTTAAGTGTTTATATAACTAAAAGGAAAAAATAGTCAATTATCTATGTTTTTGCCTTAAGAAGCTACAAAAACCCAAAATAATGAGAAGTAAAGAGAGATCAGCAAGAGTGTGGTGCAATGGAACATAGGACAGAAGAAAAAGGAGTTTTCAAATATCTATTTCTCTTGAAATCTTTGCAATTTAGGAATGGGAGCTGCCTCTTTTGATACGTTTTCATTGTTGTTGTTGTTGTTGTTGTTAATGAATATTTTCCAGGGTCAGTGAAAAATTTTCAGACACACCATTTAAAAATAGTCATTCATTTTGATGTTCCGAGGTTTATTTATTCACTCCCCTTCTATCAAGCATGTAGGCTGTTAACAGTGTTTCAGTATTACAAATAAACCTATTATAAGCCTCAAACTGCCTTCAAACTTAGAGAAGATTTATTGGAGGTTTGTTAGACCAGTCTCCCAGAAGTTAGACTTCTGGGTACTCTGATTTGTGTGCTTGTCTTCTGATGGTCTGTGAACTCCTTATGGGATAGAACTCTGTTCCAATTATTTTGGGATCCCTACTGCTTAATTTATTGCCTATGCACAGAAGAGGCAGACAGTAATGATGCACTTACAGTGACATGGAGCCTTTATTATGGGTGCTGTCAAAGCCCTTTATGCTTATAATATTTAATTATCATAATTGTGAAAAATACATACCATTTTAAACTTTATTTAACTGACAAGAAACTAAGTAATAGAGAGAAAGTTAAAAAAAAAAGTGCCAGGGTCACACATCTAATACTATGTGGCTGAGTCTGAGTTTTAGGATACTTGAAATAAACTGAATGGACCTTTAAATTTAGGGTGATGGAGAAGATGATTTGGGCTTCAGAGTTGCATGTGGCTTTGACATTTTACTTTTACAGTCTAATTGTGTCACAAGTCCTTGTGTATGTGAGCCTCAGTTTTCTTTTTCTTGAAAATGATGATATTAGTAATTACTTCCAAGTTTATTAGGGGAGCACATTTTAAAACACATACACATAAAGCCACCTTATACAGGGCTGGAACAATATTAAGCTCTTAGTCAGTGATTGGTTGTTGTCTCTTTTTCCTGTCTCTCTCACTTTAGACTTGTTCTTAAGCTCTCAAAGCTTTTCTCTTTTATAAAAGTAAACATAATTATATTTGCAGATTTGTTATAAAATATAAATGAGATTTACTCTTTAAAAATGATTTTAACATTTTTTAAGTTAAAAAATTGTGATAAAAATGAATTTTAAAAAATTTGAAATTTGACATTTACCAGTTTTTAACTCTACTGTTCCAGTAGTATTAAGTATATTACATTTTTGTGAAACAGATCTCTAGAATTTTTTTCATCTTGAAAATGTGAAACTCTATGCCCATAAAGCAGCTTCTCTCCTTCCAGCCCCATCTCCTAGAAACCACTATTCTACTACCTACTTCCGTAAGTTTGACTGTGTTAGGTATGTTATATAAGTGGAATCATATGTTTATTCTTTTGTGACTGGCTTATTTCACTTAACATAATATCCTCAAGGTTCAGCATGTGTTAGAATTTCTTTCGTTTTTAAGGCTGAATAGTATTTCATTGAATTTATATACCACATACTTTTTATTCATTTGTGGACAAACACCTGGGTTACTTCTACCTTTTGGCTATTGTGAATAATGCTACTATGAATATGGGTGTTTGAATATCTCTTCCAAACCCTGCTTTTAATTCCTTGGATTATACCCAGAAGTGGGATTACTGAATCTTTATGGTGGTTCTAGTTTCAATATTTTTAGGAGCCTCCATGTTGTTTTCCATAGCAGTTGTACCATTTTACCTTCCCATCAACAATACACAAGGGTTTTGATTTCTTCATATCCTTGTCAAACCTTATTTTCTATTTTTAAAAAATGTAGCAGCTATTATAATGGGTGTTAGGTTGGTTTTAACATTTCTTAATGATACACATTTTTAGATAGAATTAGCAAAGTGACTCCTGAAATCTCTTGGTAAGCTGGAGTAGCATCCATTCATACCAGCATGACAAAACCAAAAGCATATGGGAGGGAAATTGACCAAAAAAGCCAACTACCGTGTAGCTCCATTTGGAAAGAAGAAAAGCTTATTTATGTCTGTTGCTTGGAATATAGATATGATAAGGGATAGATCCACACTAGATGCTACTGATATATCCACATATATACACTTTTTTTTTTTTCCTTTTTGAAATGGAGTTTTGCTCTTGTTGCCCAGACTGGACAATCTCAGCTCATTGCAACCTCCACCTCTCAGGTTCAAGCGATTCTCCTGCCTCATCCTCCCAAGTAGCTGGGATTACAAGCATGCGCCACCACGCCCGGCTGATTTTTTGTATTTAGTACAGATGGAGTTTCACCATGTTGGGGTGGTGTTGAACTCCTGATCTCAGGTCAACCACCTGCCTCGGCCTCCCAAAGTGCTGGGATTATAGGTGTGAGCCACTGCGCCTGGCCTGATACAGAGTATGGAGTCTGTAGTAATGGTTAGCTTTTTCAGGCTGTCATGAGGGATAAATTTAAAATGTATATTGTTGATTTTTCACTTTTAGCTGAGAAATGCAGGTTGTAGAAGGGATTTACATTTACCACAAGGGGTCCTCCTGACACCATCAGACCCCCAGGCCAGTATTAATATGTCTGTGACTGCAAAGCCCAATTTCTGACGAATAACCCAGAACCTTTACAGCCTTATCAGTGTTTTTCTCTGCTTCAGTTAGCTTGGAAAGTTAACCTAACTTGGAAAGATACAATTGCTTGATACTGTTGCTATTTGTTAAATAAGGTGAGCAGTCAAACTGTGGATAAATTGCATTTATAGGGTAAAAAAAATTGATGGTGATTAAATAAGTTGCATGTGTGTATATGCATTTTCCATAAAATAAAAGTTCTATGTTTCTTTTGGACAACGTTAGTGTTAAGTAACTACTGGATTGCCTTTTGATATTTGCATTATTATGGTCAGTATAAGCAAAAAAAAAAAAAAAAACCCTCTGTTTTATAACATGTATGGATAGATTGAAAATTTTGGTGAGCTTCTTATTCTGTCCTGTGTTGTCATGCTTCTACCACTGCATCTGAAAAACGAATGCAACATCTTCTTACAGATTTCAGGAGCCTTTAAAAGAAAGCAATTACAGCAGTTAACCTCTCAACAGTTTCTAAATCTGGAATTTAGCTTTGATCTCTGTCTGTATGGCAAAACAAAAATAAGAAATTATCATTAATTAGAGTCCGTGAAAATATTGCTTAGATTAATAAGGTCAGGGTTTTTTTGTTTTTGCCTTTTTAGATAATGAAATAGTTTTTATGCCATTAATTTTAGAGGTACTTGAGAATACACATTTTATTGTCTTACCCAATTGACAGAAATATTAAATAAGGTTTTCATGGTAAGAGTTGCATTTTCCCATCTATTTTTTGTATTTCACTGTTGCTTAATTTAGTGGTTATAGTTATTTTCTGGTGATTTTGATACATCTGTCAAGTACCAGCTACATGTCTAGCAGGTAGTGTGATGACTTTTATCTGAATTTGTATTGGGGCAGGATTACTGACACCAGAGGGCTATCACGTGAGCCTCACGATTTGGTGAATTAGGATGTTGCATGGGGATAAGAGCAGCTTAATCTGTCCCATATTCTTTGCTGTGTTTCTTCTCTTTCTTTCTTTGTCCCATTGGTCCTCACTGCGATTCATTTGCCCTTTGTAGGCCTGTTTCCAGACTCTTCTCTGGAAACCTTTATAGCATCTGGAGGTAGGTGATACTATAGGTGGTGGTTTAACTGTGTCATCTGACTGGTGTCCAAGTGCCTGATGCATATCCCAGCTCTGCAACTGACCAATTAGTTGTAATATTAGGTATGTTACTTAATGTATCTGTTCCTCAGTTTGTTCATGTGTCATACATGGATTGTAATATCATCTATGTTGTTGGTTGTTAAAAGTATTAATTGAGAAAATTGGTGGAAAGCACTGCAGCAAATTGGTGAAGTACGTGGACTCTGTAGCTAGACTGCATGAGTTTGATTTCCAGCTTTGCAACTCAAAAGTTCTGTGACATTGTGAATTTAAGTTACCTGGTCTCTCTGTGCTTTGATTTCTTCGTTTGTAAAATGGGGATAACAGTATCTACCCCATGGGTAGTTTGTTGTGATAGGTAGGTGAGTCAACATTTTTAAAGTTATTGGAAGAAGACTTGGTACAGAGTTAGCATTCACTTGGTATCATCATGTTAAAATTATATTTTCATTATTATTAGCGTTGCTATTATGCTATTTTGTGACTGGCACGTAGTACTCAATAAGTGATAGGTATTGTTGCTCTCCTCATTTTACTGATGAAGAAACTGAAGTTCAGGATGTTGAAATGATTTTCTTTGTCTCACAGGCAGAACTGGGGCTCCTTTGCATCTTCCAGTTACAAATTCAGTGCCTTCTGCAGTTTCCCCAGAGCTCCTCAAGAATAACGGAAGGGAGGTATAGTAATTGTTAAGAAACTTTGCAAAGAAAGTGAATAATGCCAATACTGTCACCTTTTGGAATTTCTTGGTATTTCCTGTTGTTTGTCTTTGGAAGGTGATTAGATTTATTATGACTAATATTTCTTTGATCTTAACCGAGTCATAATTTTTGTTGATAGACTAAAATTTTTGAAAAATTGTTTTCGTGGTGGAAACAGCAAGACAAAATGACAGGAATGGTAATTAGTAATCTTACTGGAAATGAGCGCAGTATAAGATACCTGACATTCTAAAGTTAGGATATATTGTAATTATCAAGTGCTAATTGGAGGAACCATGTTGTAAAACTGTCGAAGTTATTTAAATCTGTAACTCCCTGATTGATGCAAACATTAAAGAGGTGAAAGATGATATATTTAGAAGTATACATGTATGATATGAATAATAATTTTTTTTTACATTCCTCCTGTTGATTGGCATAAAAGCATTTATCAGTGCTTTACTTTGCCAAGTAGTGCTGCCATGGTTTTTGGTATTCCTTAAGAGAGACAAAATTATGACAGTTATATGAGAAATGTGAAAGTTAGGCTGGTATTTTGTGAACTGCTTTTGGTGACATTTACAAGTAGTTCATTTCCTAATAGTTCATTCCTAGGGACCTTCTCTTATATGGTCATGGTTTTGTAGGTAAGTCAGATTGGACAAAATTGTACATCATATGAAGGGATTTAGAGTTCTCTCTTATGCTTACTGATCTTGCGTATAACATTGTTTGCAACCCTGATGATTTTATGTAATCTCACACACTATTTTCATTTGTGCTCTATTAAAATTTGTGGTGAAAGTTTTAATAGGAGTATCAGTACAAAATTACGTGATTTTTTTTTTATGTGGGGTGGGAAGAGGCAGTCTACATGATTTTCCTAGACTTTATGTCCGTTTTTCTTTTCTCATATTCTTGAGAAAGCAAAGTTTTCATAATGTTTAGTTCACTTATTCATTCAATAAGTATGTACCAAGCCTTTGTACTGTACTGAGATCTGGAAGTGAAGCAGTGCCCAGGATGGAGGCACGCCATACTGTCACTGATGTCCAGACATACGTATACCTTCTCTGTGACCATAGCCTTGAAAAGAAAAATTCTCTTTACCATCTTCTCATTACTTAGAGGTGATAGGCGGGTCGGTGGAATATGGCCTACACATCTTACCATTTTAGTAAGGCCCTGGAGACAATATGTATAGGACAGACAGAATTTCCGTCACGGAGCTTGCATTGTAGTAGGGGCAGCCAGGCAATAAACTGAATGTTTAAGTAAATCATGAGGTGTTTTAGAAAGTTGTAAGTGCTGTGGGAATAAAGTGAAGCAGGGAGAGCAGATGGGCCATGCAGTTTCAGACAGGGTGGTCTGGATAGGCCTCGTTGAGTAGGCGACATTTGAGCATAGATGTGGCAGGGGGAAGGGAGCAAGCCATGTGGATAACGCGGGGGCAAGAGTGTCCCACATAGAGGGACATCAGTGCAGAGTCCCTGACGTGGGCAGGGAGTGGCAAGGAGGTCAGTGTGGTTTGTGCCAAGGAAACTAGTGGATCCTTGGCGATAGAGGGGAGCCATATCACGCACGACCTTGCGGACTGTGCTAAGTATATAGGTGCTGAATCTGGGAAAGTTGGGGAACTGTTGGTGAGTTTTAAGCAAAGGAGTAAAATTGTGTGATTGATGTTTTGGAAGGATCAGTGCACAACTCAGAAGAGTTGTGAATAGAGTGTAGGGCGGTGAGAGCTGGAGCAGAGAGACCAAGTAGGAGGCCTATGGCTATAATCCAGGCAGCCTGGACCGGGGTAAGGCTAGGAGATGTGGTGAGAAATACATGTATTCTGATTATATCTAGAAGGTAAAGACAAGAGTTTACCTTTCAAGTAGGATTTACCAGAATTGCTTTAAAATATGCCAGTACTAAAAGAGTTTCATGTAAAGGTCACGCAACTTTTAAATAAGTGGTTGGCTTTTATATTAGTATGTAGAATTCATAAATAAGGGAATATAGAGGACTGCTTACCCTTTTTCACTTACATTGCCATTATCTGTAGTCTGTTTCTGTTCAAGATGTCACTGAATTAGGAATTTAAAAGCATAATTTGTCAGGAAGAAAATAATAAACACTGTATCACCAAAGTAGCCAGTACTTGCCTCATTTTGCAGCTCTTTGACCTTGGGCAAGTTGCTTGGCCTCTCTGAACTTCATTTTTGTCTTCTGTGAAAACAGGGAAGTAGCTGCTTCACTGAGATTGTGTTATGGATTAAATGCAGTTTTTTCTATGTAACTATAGTTGCTCGATAAAAGGTATAGGTTATTGCTAGCAGTATCACCTATATCCTCTTCAGTTCTTCTCTGTGGCATGAGTTGGTTCCTAACATTTCCATAGCTGCTGTTTCAATCTGGTCTTTACTTGGTCTCCTTGGTCTCTGACCTGGGTAATTTATGCTCTTTCATATCTTAACATCTTCCCATACTCTCAAGATCTTGCACATTAGGAGATGATATTTGGATATTGAAATAAATTATGAAGTAGTTGCAGGGATAGGAGAGAAAACCCCCATCTACTGGTCACTTTAAAGTCACAGAAACCAGGTTCATCCCTCTCCCTCATTCTCTATATTCACTTTTCTTGTTTGTCCTCTCGTCCTGTCTGTCACTGCAACTGCATTAGCTCCAGTCACCACCACCCTGTGCTTATATGACTCTCTCTCCTGCTCAGCTGGTCCTGTGGCAGCTCATCAGTCTGACTAAAAAATCCTTCCTACGGTGGGATGGTGTGCTGTGGTATGAAGACCCTGGCATCTTAGATGAGCGAGTGGGCTTGGTAGATTATTGAAATAAATTATGAAGTAGTTACAGTGGTAGGAGAAAAAGTGCCCATCTACTGATCACTTTAAAGTCACAGAAACCAGGTTTATCCCTCTCCCTCATTCTCTCCATCACTTGTTCTCTTGTCCTCTCTGTCACTGCGACTGTATTAGCTCCAGTCACTACCACCCTGTGCTTATACCACTCTCTCTCCTGCTCACCTGGTCCTGTGGCAGGTGTTCAGTCTGACTAAAAAGTCCTTCCTGTGGTGGGGTGGTGTGCTGTGGTGTGAAGACCCTGGCATCGTAGATGAGCGAGTGGGCTTGCTAACTCCTGTGCCTCTTCCTAGTCTATGACCCTGTCTTTAGTCTTAGTGCTCTCATTTTTAAAAGAATTTTAATACCACATTTGCTTAAAAGATGGGAAAATTACATGTAATCAGTACTTCGTGTGTAGAATATAATTGTAGGTTGCTAATGAAGGTAGCTTTTATTTTGTAACTTTTGACAGCCATAAGTTGCAAGGTGGACTCAGTGTGCTTGGATTATTTGTACAGTCCGTTAGTCAATGGCTCAGATTAAACTCCAGTCCGTTCTCACGGGAGTGGGTCAGATATGCTTGCTGGTGAATGTGCTCTTATCCTTCCCATCATGGCAGTGGTCCTTTACAGTCTTGGTCTCTTAGTAATGGTGGAGGCTGGGGATTGTTTTTCATGTATTCTAGTTTATCTAGTTGCTTGTTTCCTCTGTTCTTTTTCTAGCTTGCTTGCGTTTTTCTGGAGCCCCTTTCTTCCCAGTGTTCCCTGGGGTCATAGTTCACGCTGGTGAATGATGTGTTTTCAGTGGAGCATAGAAGAGGTCACTTGAACTCTGGCTACTATTAGGAGCCTGGAAGTAAACCTACAGACAAAGCCATCATCAAAAGTAGCATGTTAGAAATGAAACAACTGTCCTGGGGCATCACTGGACACAAATAAGCCTCTTGTTCTCCTCAGGCTTTGTTAAGCTATTCTTTTCAGAAGTTAGTGACTTCATAAACAAAGCCTCGGTCATTTTCACTGTTCAGTAAAATACTTGATTTTTGATTGGTTTATACAAGTGTACTAGTAACAAAATTACCCACATTTGGGAAAGCTAGAACTGTAGAGTCTCAGTGTGTCTTATGTATGTTCAGAGAACAAAGGCACCAGGAGCCTAGTTACTAATTATCTTACTGCTAAAGTGGAATGTGTTTAGATAGCTAAGTTTTTGAGATGATCTTGACTATCTCACAGTTTGAATGGAAAAACTAAGTAGCTCTGCATTTTAAAAAGTTGCTAGTACAGATTGTAAGGTTGTTTTTCTGTCTGTCTTCTTTAGTATGAGTTTATTACTCGCTTATGTTTTGAAACTAAGAAAGGAAATCATGCCTCTTGGATCCCTCAATATTCCCTAAGCTAATTTTAAAGAATGTGGCTACCTCAAATTCTTGATTTTCTGTTTTCGAGAGAGTTTTTAAAATTTATACACTTACTATGAGCGTACCAACCAGGAAAAATATTTTACCACGAAAATATTTGGGTACCTATGGACATAGAGACATAGATAGATCAGGATTTTTTTTCCAGAAAGGATTTTTATTTCATCAAAGTAATTATTTTAACTCTAAGGTCATAAAGAATTAGGTTAGTAAAATGACAAAGGCATGACTTTGAAAACAAAAATGGTTTGAGAAGCCACCTACAGACATGATCTGGGTCAGACTTGATTTGCAGCTTACTCGATTTTAGAATCGGTTGTCAGTTTTGTAAACAGAAGACTGCTGGATGAATTGAATAGAAGGGTGAGATTAGCATATTAATAAGTTACTGGCTACTGGCCTTCTTTTTCTCCTCCCTCTTTTCCCTCCCTCTTTCTCCTTCCCTGAATGAATCTAGGAATACAGACCCGTGGGGTCACATTACTAGCTGGTTTCATTCTGTTCAGTAGCTTAATCTAGCCAGGATGGTCTGTGTTTCAGATTGCGGAAGCATGAGAAGATTCTGTAACTGAGAGGCATTCTTCAAGCTGCTGGAAAATATTACAGAAGGAACACCTTCCAAATTTTGCTTCAAGCTCTGAAAAAAGGAGCACACAGGGGAACCTTAGTCTTGCTTGTGGATCGAAGCAAATACTATCACAGCGAGGAACTGGGACTTTGTGTGCGGACTCCTGGCTTGATCTTTATAGGATTGGGTGTATGTTGTTGGAACTGGCAGGCCAAGAGGCCCTGAAACCAGCAGGTGCCATCTATATGGAGAAAAGCGGCTGTAGTCCATTTCCAGTGTGTTGGGCTAAAGGTATAAATAACTTAAAAATACGTTCAGTTTTGTTTAAATTCATGCTTTTGCACCGAAAAGGTAGATAAATGTTTTTCAGAATTTATTTCAATATATTTACGGTTAAAACTTTGAGGAAAAATGGAAATTGATTTGGTATGGGTTTACAGCTATTACATGAAACCAATTAGATAGCTTTTCATATAGTAAATGAAAATATTTTTTATGGAAACGAATTTTAAGTGCATTAAGCTGTCTTTTGATGTTCTGTCCCATGTCTCTTAATAGTTTTATTTTTTCTTTTAATTTAAGACATCTGTATGTATTCTGTAATCTGGAAGTTTTTAAGGAAAAAAGGAATTTTAACTTAAACAGGGTTGTAGGAAAAACGAGTAACATGTATTTTTTACTTTAAAAATTAGTTTTCTTTACTCACTGTAAAGATTGTATATTCAGTTTGAAACTCCATATTATTGTAAGGTGGGCTTAGGAATACCATGCATAAACAGTTTTCTTTCTTAATGTTTTTAGGGTTTTTATTCACATAAAAATATAAATATAAAATACAGCTTTTTCATTGTAACATTCAAGACAGTATTTGGGAAACATATTGAGAAGTTAATGCTATGTAATTTGTGCTTGACTACAAGCAGATCAGCTGTTTTGCTTACAGTAGTGGAGAATGTATAAGTTAGGAAATAAAGTTCTTAATGAAGAATATAATAAAAATATTTTTTATTATTATTTCAAATATATTTAAATATAATGTGACTCCACTTAGGAAAGATTTTTAAAAGGAGGAAGCTGCACTGTTGTAAAAGGTTGCGGTTTTATAAGTAGAGGTATAGACTGATTCATTTTAGTTTTTGGGGTAAAAATTTTGGTACCACTGGGATATTGGTGTGTTAGCACCAAATTACAGTTTCACCATTAAAATGGTTTTTATTTAGTTGTTGCTGTCATCTATTGATTCTTTCCTAGGCTTTTAAACATTTACAAAACATGCGATATTAAGTATTTTAGTATTCACTTTGTTCACTTGTTTGTGTAATTAGATACTCAGAGTAAATATTTTGCTGAGTTAAATTCACACTCTTGGATTTTAAAGAGTTTTGGGAATGGGAACTTTTTAAAATTTTAGTTTCTCAGCATCAGAAATGTATAGCATAAGTGAGTGTGACCAATAGTGTTCATAGCCAAAGAATTCTATACTTGTTGAAAATTTTGATCTTTTCCTGGATTTGCTGGAGTTCGTTTGCATATTGCCACCTCCATTGTATGATAACATTGTGTTAGCAATGATGATTAACAGTAAGGCTCTGATTTCCTTCTTGGATTCAAGATCTACACATCCAGTACCAGTGGGATATTAAATTATCAGCTACTGGATTTCTTTTTATTCAGTGTGACTTTAAAACTGTGAACTTTGGAAGAAAAGAGATTATAGTGTTTTTACTCACCCCAAAGCGATTGATGGAAACAACTTATTTTTCAATTAAGTTTGCTGGCTGTCAGAACAAATGAATAAAACTATTTTTAACTGAAATATGCATTATGATAGAGGTTAGGGTTGGGTAAGAGAGAACAGAGCTCACACATATAAAAGATGGGAAAAGGTAGGGATCGTGTCAGGGGTCAGAATCAGTTTCCTGTGTAGGGCCGCAGCAAGCCATCTCCTCATGGTTTTGCTTTTGAGTTGTTCAGAGGAGGTTCTGACAAAACCTAGGAGCTGTTGTCCTGTCCCTTCTTGGTGCTGCAGACACTGCTTCCATTGTGATTGCCCAGTGTGTAACTATCTTAGTAAACTTCCTCTCTCTCCCCTCATGTTACTCTTGTACCAGGACAGGAAGGCAGGAAACCTTGTTTTTATGCTGGTTAACTTTGTGTGATAAGGACAAAGATGTTGGTATATAGGAATTGGCTGAATTGGTTGTATTCAAGTATAAAAGTTACAACTTGTAGATAAAGACACAGTAAAAAGCTCAAATCCAAATAATATACAAATCTCTATCTGCAGTTAGACATTCTAAACCACACGTTTGATTTTATCAGTCACATTAACCTCAAAAAGCACAGCAGTGTCCCAATTTAAGAAGACACATAAAATACCAGGACAAGCTAAAAATAATAGAGCAGACTATATTTGTATCCCTTGAACTGAAACCTTTAAGGTATCCTTAAAACATTCTGGGGCGTTTGAACCAAGTTCATTGTGCGGTTGAATTTGGTGTAAAGAATCCACCTTAGGTCCCATCCAAGGAAGATTATATTTTAAAGTATTAAAAAGGACTTTGTTTTAACATGGGTTCAACTACATCATGGTTTTCTAGGTTTAAAGACAGTTTTGATTCAGAATATTGAATTAAATGTAAATGTTCACAGTGTTATTTTAGGTTGCAAGACTATCAAGTGCAGAAAGTCCTGTTTGGGGAGTTATTTGATTATATCAGTTTTTACATTATTTATTTCATGTTTTTGAAAGGCTGGGAAGGACTAAAGAGTTTCAGAGATTTGGTTGTTAAATCCTGATCTGATCTCTTGATTTCTCCAGGTTTGGGCCTTTGTCCTGTTGCTCATTAATAGCACAATTATTTTGTCTTTTCAGTGCCTCAGACACCCCAAACTCTTCCTCTCAGGCCTTTATACCTTCTGTTGCATTTTCCTAGAGCCATCGTCTCTGCATTCTCTGACTAGCCAGCTCCTACTTAACCTTTTAGGTCTCAGCTTAAATGAGCTCCATGAGGAAGTAAGTGTCTTCATCTTTTACTCACTGCCATATGCTTGGCACATACTAGGTGTTTGTGAAATATTTGTTGAATGAATCAATGACTAGTGTGCAAAGAAAAATACCTCAGAGTAGAATGCATGGTACTGACATTAAAATGCAAAAATTACCGTGGGACTCTCACTCCGGTGCTCTCATTCCTCTCGGTCTAAACCAAGTTTTCTCTAATGTTCCCTCCTATATCCTTTTCTTCTGGTATTGTATAACACTTACTGTGATTTGTCGTTATATACTTTACTTTTTTGGATTTCTGTCTTCTATTAGACGTAAACTTCACAGAGATAGTGTCAGTTTTTTTTCTTCTTGACAAATAGTTGACATAAACGATTATTACTTTAACGAATGAATAAATTCTATATAGGGTTAGATTTGATTTTAAAAGGCTCTTTCAGAGCTAAAATCTTGTGATTAATACAGTGTTTTGTAGGTAAATCTAGTTTTAGGATCATTGAACTGTCAGAAATAAATATTCCATGTCAAACTTTTGGCCATTCTAATTTCGTTGAGTTTGTGTTCTCTTTTTTCTCTTAGAGTAAAAGTGTATACCCCGGGTTTAACATAGCACTCTGCCCATAGTGGGTGGCTAATGATGCTTTGGTCTTGAGCTGTTGTTAATTCCTATAGATTTATTTTAATATCTCACTTAAATTTTTGTAGTTTTTTTCTTTTTTTTTTTTTTGAGATTGGGAGTCTCTGCTCTGTCAACCCCAGGCTGTAAGTTACAGTGTGCCGTGATCTCAGCTCACTGCAGCTCTGTTCTCCCACAGGTTTATTGCCATTCTTCCCTGCCTCGCCTCCCAAGGTAAGGGCTGGGATACAGGCGGCCGCCACTCGCCGGCGGTAGTTTTTTTGTATTATTTAGTAGAGACGGGGTTACCGTTGGTTAAGCCAGGAGGTCTCGGATCTCCTGACCCGTGATCACCGTCTCGGGCCTTCCCAAAGTGCTGGGTTGTAACAGGCTTTGGAGGCACCGCGGCCCGGCTACATTTTTTGTGTTCTTTCCCTTTTTCTTTCTTTTTTCTCTTTTCTTTCTTTTCTTTTATGTCAGTCTTGCTTCTGTCGCCAGGCTCGTTTCAAGTGCATTCTCCTGGCCTCAGCTCCAGTTCGCTGGGATTCAAACGTACACCAGCCCACTGCGGCTGAATTGTTGTTTGTCGGTAGAGACGGGGTTTCACCATGTTGGCCAGGCTGGTCTCAAACTCCTGACCTCAAGTGATCCACCCGCCTTGGCCTCCCAAAGTGCTAGGATTATAGGTGTGAGCCACCATGCCTGGCCAATTTTACAGTTTCTTTCTGCTTTACCTCAAATCATGGCATTTTAAAAGAGAGCTGTGTTTCTTAATAGCTAAAACTTATTCAGAAATACTACATGCCATGCTGTGTTCTGAGCATTAAACATGCACAAAAAACATACATGTTGTCCCATTCTCACAAATGTTTGTAAGCTGTCTGAGATGGGAAATATCATTATCCCCATTTTACAGATGAGATAATTGAGGTACTGAGAGATTAAATAACTTGACAATTGTTGCTCAGCTAATATAAAAGGCAGAGCAAGATTCTGAACAGTGGGAATCTAACTGTAGTGCCTGTATTCTTAATCACTATGCCATACACACCCAAATAGAAAAATGGTAGGATCATAATGGAATTGTCTATTTCGTGTAATTTTTGCATTTTGATATATATACTATGTCATCTACTCTCAGATGTTTTCGTTCTATTCATTCATTCATTCATTCATTCATTCATTCATTCGTTCATTCCACAGATATTTAATGAACACCAAGTATGTGCCAAGCCCAGTGTACTTGGCATTTGCCAGTGAGTCAGAGATACCTACTCCTTCATGTAGTTATTCTTCCAAGTGAGGGGAAACAGTGAATGACAAAAATAATAAATAAATAAATTGGTTAGTGTGATAGAAGGTGTTAAATGTTACGGTGAAGGTGAGGTCAGATGACAGTCTTATTATATAGAATATCTAGGTGTAGACTGCACTGAAAACGTGCATTTTATTGAAGACTTGCAGGGAATATGGGAGTTAGCGAAGTGGATACTTGGGAAAAGAAAGTTCCAAGTCGATTGCATGGGTAGAGCAAAGGCTCTTGCTGGGGAGAATGGCATTGTGGCCAGAACAGAGTGAATACGGAGTTATGGCTATCTCCCCAATTCTTCGTGCCTACGAGGTGGTGGTTTAACCAGAGACACAGGCATGGGTTAAAAGTGAGGCCTG